TACTTATTCTGGATATGGATTCGCCTTCCCTGCATGCAATACTTCTGCCAAAACTACCATCTGTGGACTTACAGAATGCCTTATCCACCATCATAGTATGCCACACAGCATTGCTTCAGATCAAGGGACTCACCTCACAACAAATGAAATGCAGCAGTGGGCCTATGCTCATGGAATTCACTGGTCTTACCATGTTCCCCATCATCCTGAAGCAGCTGGCTTGACAGAACAATGGAATGACCTACTGAAAACACAATTATGGTGCCATCTAGGTGCCAGTACCTTGAAGGGTTGGGGGAATGTTCTCCAGGAGGCTGTATATGCTCTAAACCAGCGTCCAATATATGGTGCTATTTCTCCAATAGCCGGGAATCACGGGTCCAGGAACCAAGGGGTGGAAACAGGAGTGGTACCACTCACTATTACCCCTAGTGACCCACTCAAAACATTTTTGCTTCCTGTCTCTGCTACCCTATATGCTCTTAGGGTCTGAAGATCATAGTCCCAAAGGGAGGAACACTCCTGCCTGGAGACACAATACTGATTGCTTTGAACTGGAAATGAAGAATGCCACCCAGCTATTTTGGCTTCCTCATGCCTTTGGACTGCTAACTAGAAGGCTGGTGGTTCAAACCCACCAGCCACTCCTCAGAAGGAAGGTTGGGCAATCTACTTCTGTAGTAATACCGCCTCGGAAACCCAAGGAGGGGTCGCTATGAGTTGGGTCCAACTTGACGGCACATAGCAACAACAACAACATGCCTCTGGATCAACAGCATTACTGTACTATCTGGTGTAATAGATCCTGATTACCAAGGGGAAATTGGATTGACATTACATAATGGAGGTAAAGAAGAATATATCTGGAATATAGGAGAATCTTTAGGATGTCTCTTAGTACTACCATGCCCTGTGATAAAAGTCAATGGAAAATTATAGCAACACAATTCTGATATGACTGCTAATGGCCCAGACCCTTCAGGAGTGAAGGATTGGGTCACCCCACCAGGCAAAGAACCACAACCAGCTGAGGTGCTTGCTGAGGGCAAGGGAAATACAGAATGGGTGGTGGAAGAAGATAATTCTGAATATCAGCTATGACCACATGACCAGCTGCAGAAACTAGGAGTGTGATTGTTATATTTCTTCATTGTACATGTGCATCAAATATTTTTGTTTCCTTCTGTTATGAACTGTGAAATGTAAATAAGGTTAAGGTGATTCGGTTGTATGTGTGTTAACATATCATGTTGGGCACAAATACGACTTTGTAATTGTCCTTATTTAGAGATTATATATGGCTAAGAACTCCCAGGTTAACAAGGGGTGGACTGTGATAGCTAGAGCTGTGTGTCAACTTGGCTGGACCACAATTCTGTGTGGTTTAAGCAATTGTGATGTGGGTTGTTCCAATGATGGGATCGGATGTATATGTTTCAAGCAGCCAATCCATTTAACGGGAGTTTCCCTAGGGGTGTGGCCTACTTCCAGTATATTTATGGACATCCTGGGAAAAGAGACACTCTTCTGTGGATCAGGATTCTGTGCTGCCTACTACTGTCTGTGAGGAAACAATCCACCATTCGGCCTGGAGATCTTGGATTTGTCATTCATTGGAGTCAACAGCCAGTATACTGCCTGCCAACCTTGAGTTCATCAGCCCTTGCAGCTGCGTGAGTTGGGAAAAGCCTCCAGCTTGATGTTTGATCCAAGAACTTGAAACTTGCCAGCTTCTATAAGTGTGTGAGCCATTTTCCTAAGATAAATTTCTCTTTCTCTATATGTATATATAAGCTTTACTGGTTTTGCTTCTCTAGAGAACCCAGTCTAACATTGATGCTATCAGTTAACATAAAGTGTACTGGAGTAGATCTTGAAATGTTCTTTTTGACAATGAATGGGATGCTCTTCCTCTTCAATTATCATTCCTGGCATGGTAGACCATGTGACTATCCAATTTAAAATAGCCAATACCAGTCTATTTCAGCTCATTAATGCATAGAATATCAATCTTCATACATTTCATTTCACTTTTGATGACTTCTAATTTTCCTAGATTCATACTTCATACATTCCACATTCTGATTATTAATAGCTGTTTGCAGCTCTTTCTTCTCCTCGTAAATTGTGCTACATCAGCAAATGAAGGTCCTGAAAGCATTACTCCATCCACATCATTAAGGTTGATTGTACTTTGAGGAGGCAGATCTTTCCCAGTTGTATTTTGGGTGCCTTCCAACTAAAGGGCTTACCTTTGACATAAAATGTTTTGCTGCTATTTGTTAGTTTTCACTGGCCAGTTTTTTAAGATGTAAATCAACAGATCTTTCTTCCTACTTTATCTTAGTCTAGAAACTCCACTAAAACCTATCCACCATGGGTGACCGTGCTAGTATTTGAATACCAGTGGTATAGCTTCCAGCATTACAACCACAAGCAAGCCACCACAGTGCGACTGATAAAGATCAAAAGCTATTGGTTTCTGTATGGATTACACCTCAACATAAAGAAAACAAAAATCCTCACAACTGGAGCAATAACATCATGATAAATAGAGGAAATATTGAAGTTGTCAAGGATTTCATGTTACTTAGATCCACAATCAATGACCATGGAAGTAGCAGTCAGGAAATCAAACATACTACATTTGGCAAATCTGCTGCAAAAGACTTCTTTAAAGTATTAAAAAGCAAAGATACCACTTTGAAGACTAAAGCCATGGTATTTTTCAGTCACCTCATATGCATGCAGAAGCTGGACAATGGATAAGAAAAACTGAAGAATTGATGCCTTTGAATTATGGTATTGGCAAAAAATATTAAACATACCATGACTGCCAGAGGAACGAACAAACCAATCTGTCTTAGAAGTACAGCCAGGATGATGCTCCTTAGAAGCAAGGATGGTGAGACTTTGTCTCATGTACTTGGATATGTTATCAGGAGGGACAAGTCCGCTGGAGAAAGAATCATGCTTGGTAAAATAGAGAGTCAGCATAAAAGAGGAAGACCCTCAGTGAGATAGATGGACAACAACAGGCTGAAACAGAGCAACAATTGTGAGGATGGCACAGGTCAGTGTTTCATTCTGTTGTATGTAGGGTTGCTACATACAGTTCTGACTCAGTGGCACCTAACAACAACAATACTGGAGTAGGATGAATCCTAATCCAATCTGAGTGGTGTCCTATAAAAGAGGAGAAGATACAAAGAGAGACAAAGAGAGGGGAGAGCATCATGTGACAAAAGAGTTATGCTGTGACTGCAAGCCAAGGATCACCTCGAGCAACCAGAAGCTGAAAGACAGTGAAGGAACAGATTCTCCTTCAAAGCCTCGGAAGGAATCAACATGTCTGACACACTGATCTGAGACTCCCAGTTTCCAGAACTGTGAGACAATAAATTTCTGTCCTGATAAGCCACCCAATTTGTGGTCCTTTGTTACAGCAGCCTTAGGAAACTAATAATGCAGTGAAGAAAATAATGTAGATTAATGTGAAAGATAGTGCCTGGAAGGAAGGCTGGTCAAGGAAAGTTCTCTGTAGTGACACTGAACGAAGAGTGGAATGATGCAAAGAGCTCAGCCATCAGAAGAATTGAAGGAAGAACAAATGCAAAGGCCTAGGAAGTGAGAATGATGATGATGGGGTACTCCTATGGGTCTGTAGTGAGGGGGGCGAGGTGAGCCACGGTGAGATTACAGCATGGATGAAATGTTATACTCTGCTTGTTTTCACTCATTACAATTTATGAATGATCCCAGTTATGAAAAATTATTTGTAAACCTTTTAATGGCTACATTTACAAAAACACAGACACTCCCTGCTGCTACGTTTCCAGCAGAAGTCAGTGGGGAGAAAGGCTTAATGACATGGAAGTCAGGCTAGTCCCCTCCTATAGGCACCCTCATTGCCACTTCTGAGTCCCTGTCAAGGTTCAAAGTGGCAGAGGCCCCATGGTCCACACCTTAGAGACTGTCAATATGTCCTAGTCCCAACAAATAATATCTGAGCTCCAGAAACTTCTCTTGGGCCTCTATCACCCTCTCCTTTGTAGTGTCCAAATGGTTTGAAGAGAAACAAATGTCTCCTGGTAAAGACCACTTCTTGGTCCTCCATTTTCAAGGAACAGGCCCATGCTGACAAGAGCCCTCTTCCAGAAGGCTGCTCTCCTTTCTCCTTTCCTAGCCAAGCTTTTGGCTTCTGGCTTCTTTGGGAAGCCATAGGACTTAACCAGGTTCTCTTTGCCAACATTTCAGTCTTCAGGGCTTGAGCTGCAGGGCCTGCGGAATTCCTGTCCATACTCATGTATCCACTTGTTGGCCACTGGGAGAGAATGAGAAGGAAGAAAACAAGGCTCAGCAGAGTGGACAGTAGCAGACCCAATGCCATGGGCCAGGGCTCACTTTCAGGGTCATGTAAGTGCCTCCTTAAATTTTGTACCCTAGGCACCTCATGTGCCTTACTCCAGTCCCAGCCCTGCTGTGGATTACAAGATGTTGCTTCTAGCAGATAAATACCAAAGAGCTCACTGTCCCCTGGAAAAAATCCCTGGCATGTACTGTCTACTAGAGACTGATTTTCAAACCTGTAGGAACTAGAGTCCTACACGTTTCATTCATGCAGCTCCTAAAAGCCCACCTCATCCATGATGGCATCCAGATTAATGAGAGAAAATCTGATGGCTTCGCTTCCATCTCAATACTCCCTATTCTATGTTCTTCCCACATCCTATTCTATCTTCAGAGCTAAGTGCTCTTAACTTCTATATGATATCAACACTTATGCTTTTATTTCTCTTCTTTGTTTTACCATCTCTTCATGGGGAGACTCTAAATGACAGAAATAATTGGTGGCTCTCTTTGGAGTAGATGGTTAAGGACTTAGCAATACATTCCTTCTTAGCTGTGTTCAGGAATGAAGTTTCTGGTCAGGTCAGTAAATCTTCACCGTATCTGCTCTGTGACAGGACCTCCTACCCTTTTAGGGTTCCCTATTTGTTTGGGGCAAGTGTCTCAGAATCTGATCATTTTGATATAAAATGGTATTATAATAAAACTCGCAGAATGGAAGGGCTATGCTATTTTCCACCCACCCCCAATTTCACTCTACTCTGTGCCCCTCACCCTCAGAAAGCAGGCCTTACCCCACTTATCCCCCACCAGGACAGGACAGCCAGCATGAAGAGTGTCACCATCCCCTTCACCACTCCTATGCAGGTTCCACCAAAACAGTGCTGCGTTCTGAAAACAAGAAGGCCCAGTCCCAGAAGGGTCAGCCCAGAATGCCATCCTTGGGAAGCACATGACTAAAGACAAATGCATGCATGTCGTTCATCAAGAAAACTCTCCATGCGGATTGGGGACAAGGCATGCATAAAGTAGAACAAAATGGCATAAGAAGCGATTTATTCATTCATGCATAAGTCATTTAATGAGGGTCTACTCTGCACCAGGCCCTAGGGCTGTAAAAGCAAATCACATCAAATCTCTGCCCTCAGGGAGCTCACAGTCTAGTGGGAGATGCAAGCGTATAAACAGACGGCAGCAATGCAGTGTGGCAAAGGCTAAGAGAAAGACAAGCACAGGGTGGCACTGAATCACTGAGGAGAGACACCCAACAACAAACTTTAGGGAGGAACAAAATATTCCTTATACAACTGAGAATTAATTCTGAAATGGACCCTCCTTTTGGCACTTAGTACTAACATTCTACCAGGGAGAAGGCATTATCATAATTCTCATTTTACCAGCAAGTAAATTGAGCCAAGGCAGGACTCAAACCCAGGTATTTTGGCTCCAAATCCTACATGTTGTTTTTTCTCCTATATGCTGCTTGCTTACTTTAACCTTGGCCATTAAAAGTAGACAAAACCTCAGCTACTCTGATAGGACCAATAGCCTGAGTATTTCCAAGTGGTGTTGGGACCTGAGAATTGACCTAAAGATCAACCCTGGTCACTAAGGGCTGCAGGGACAACCGCGCTAGTGGCCTATGACTAGGAAGGAAAACAGCAAGGAGGGAGACAACCTGAGCATTGACTTTCCACTGTCAGGAGGGTGCAGCCATTTTAATCATTTACATGGGGTGGCCATTTTAGATATTTAAAGTGACCGAGGGTGCAGCCATTTTGAATGTTTACAAGTAGCAGCCATTTTGGATATTTAAAGTGATCAAGGGTGCAGCCATTTTGAATGTTTACAAGTGGTGGCCATTTTGGATATTGAAGTGATCAAGGGCGCAGTCATTTTGAATGTTTACAAGCAGTGGCCATTTTGGATATTTAAAGTGACTGAGGGTGCAGCCATTTTGAACGTTTACAAGTGGCAACCATTTTGGATTTTAAAGTTATAGCATTCTCATTCGGATTCCAGGGCCCTAAGAATGGGCTCTGTTTGCCAAGGTCAGCAGGGATATCCGAGAGGCTGACAACAGGAAAGGAGACAGGTGGTGAGTGTATAAGTGCTGTCAACTAGCGAATAGAGGAGCACAGTACCCTGCTTGCATAGATAACATACAAACAAAAGAAAGAAAATGAAAATTGTGGGCAAGTCACTCCAACATACAATCACCAATTAAATATAAACACAAAAATGTTCAATGCCTTGGAGACAACAGAGCATCACAGTCCCACAAAGAAGCAAGATAAAGCAGGAAAAACAGGGGACCAGGATACAAACCCCAAACACACCCCTGAGGAAAATGCAGCATTGGAACTCCCTGATAAGGAATTCAAAAGAATTATATTTAGATATCTTCAACAAATTGAGAGACAGATCAGGGAAAACACAGAGAAAACCCTAGAACAATTTTGAAAGACAATACAAGAACAAAATGACAAAATAAATGAAAAATTAGAAAAGATACAAAATCTACACACAGATATCAAGAAGATTAATACTAAATTTTGAGAAATAAATAAGATATTGAATGGGCAAAGGAGCAGAATTTAATCAATGGAAGACAGAATTAGGGAGATTGAAAGCAAATACCTGAACACTTCTTCAGGAAAGTGATAAATCAGAAAAAAGATCAGGACAAAATGAAGAAAGCCTAAGGTTCATGTGGGATACATCAAAAGGAATAACCTACATGTCATTGGAATTCCAGATCAGGAAGAGAAAAATAAAACTACAGAGAAAATTGTCAAAGATTTGTTGGAAGAGAATTTTCCTAGTATGATGAAAGATGAGACTATATCCATTCAGGAAGCCCAACAAACCCCAAACAGGATAGACCCCCAAAAGAAAATCATCCAGACATATCATCATCAAACTTACCGAAACCAAAGACAAAAAAAGAATCCTGAGAGCAGCACGAGAAAAATTAAAAGTTACATACAAGGGGCAACCAATAAGACTGAGCTTGGATTTCTCGACAGAAACCATGCAGGTGAGAAGACAATGGGATGGCATATGTAAACCACTGAAAGAAAAAAATTTCCAACCAATAATCATGTACCCAGCAAAACTGTCCCTCAAACATGATGGTGAAATTAGGACATTTCTAGATAAGCAGAAATTAAAGGAATTTGTTAAAACCAGACCAACCTTACAAGAGATGTTAAAGGGAGCCCTTTGGACAAAGAAGCAACAACAGCCAACAATAATTGACCATTAACACACATGATGATATAATCTAGAAACCAACCCAGCTATGGAAGTATCCAAAGTAAATAAGCCTACAAGATTGTAAACAGGGAACCAGAGACATCAATTGACAAATGAAGACAACTACAAACCAAAAAGAGGGAAAAAACTGTGTTGTTACAGAACTTCTAGATGGTAGGGAAGTCAAGACAAATACAAGATAGAACGACTGTTCTAAACTTGGGAAGAAAATTATAAATCACAGGGTAACCTCAAAGAAAAATGTTAAACCTTCACATCAAAAAAGAGGGCCAGTGTAATATTCAGCAAATACTAAAACAATAGCAATGAAGGAAGTGATAACACAATTCATAAACAAAATGAGCTCAGCATAGAAAATTATATGGAACAAAGAAATCGACACCATGAAAAAGCACATAACAAAAATGACAGCAACAAATTCATATTTGCTGATAATTACATATCTGGCAAGGGACTTATCTCTAAGATTTATAGGGGAAGAGTGGATGACCAAACTATGGTACATAAACATAATGGAATGCTATGCAGCACTAAAGAATAATGTAGGGTCTGCAAAACACCACATAATATGGATGAACTTGGAGGACATTATGCTGAATGACATAAATTAATCACAGAAGGACAAATACAGTATTAGTTCATTGTTGTGGAGGGTCAAGGAAAGGTTTAAATATGCAGGGAAACTTTCTTTGATGCCTGCCAGGGGTAGGAGGGGAGGGGAGGGAACACCACCAAAAAAAAAAAAATTAAAAAAAAATGCATTGACCCATATCACTTTAGTTTTGTGTATTTCACTGTACATAATTATATTTCAATAAAATGTATTAAAAAAAAGTAGACAAAATCTAATGTAACAAAGGGATTTCCAGGAGGCACTGGCAGCCCCAGCTTTCTCTAGCCTAGAGGAGACCTCAAACCCCTGAGCATTTATTGATAACTAGCATTTATCTACATAATCTTAGAATGTGCCAGGCACTGTGCTAAATACTGCACAGATATTATCTCATTTATTCATCTTCATTATATATCTGAATTAGGGCTGCCAGGGAATTTAATTGATTTAATTTAATTGATCTAGAATTTGAGAGAAATATTTATTAACATCTTGCCCCTCTTCTGAGCTTTTTTTCATAGTTCTTATCACAATACATTGTCATTGCCTGTTAACTTCTCTGTGAGTTCCTGGAGGAAAAGGACTATGATTTTTCCTCTGTACCTTCAATGCCCACTGTCCTCAGTGTTCACTGAACAAATGACTAAAGGGACTAGTTGCGGTAGAGGATCCAAAGACAGAGGACAGAGAGTTTTTACCTTTGAGGAGTTCTATTGTAATAGGGAAGACAGGCATGCCATCAGCCACTGGTAAGTGAAAATCAAATGAAAGATAGAGGCTGTGGTTGTAGAGAAGAGGAAGTGTTTATCTATGATTCTGGGAATCAAGGAAGACCTCTTTATTCTCCCTCCTAGGAATCAGCTTGTAAGCATAGACAGCATGAAAGCCAGGGTGTTAGTTCTATACTCATAACACCAAGCCCCCACTCACCTTAACGACAGGCATGCTAAAGTTGGCATAGATGAAGGCTGTGGCTCCTCCAGCTTCCACTGCACTCAGCTGCAATGCCAGAGGAGAAACCAGACTTGAAACAGCTGCTACCTGCCCTACTCTGTCATGTATTCATTAACCTAAAATCCTACTGTCATTTCTGCATAGATTCCTTCCTGTGCTCCCTGATTCCAACTTGGAATTGATTCCAACTCAGCGGCATTGGTGTTTGCCTGCAGGCCCACAAAGGACCACATTTAGGAACTCCTCCTCTCTTTACCATTCCAACCAACATCCATATTGGGGGCTTCATTAGATAAGTAGATTCAAACTTTTTTGATTGAGATCCTCAAGAAGAAACACATTTTACATCACAACCCTAAACAGACAGACAGACACACCCACACCATTGCTAGACTCTTAACATCCATATTACATTTACTATAGCAACTGGGCTTCTGTAATCAAGGAACAGCTGGAGGAGATATATTGGGGAGATAAAGAAAAAAGATATCTTGGGCCCCAGATGTCCTAGTCCTTGGTTGATACCTATATTCACTGCCTTCAACCTCCCACACCAGCTTGAACCATCAGCTACATTTGCTGCCAATCCAAGATGTGGCCCTTGCCCAGATAACTATCCCTCTGTGTTTGATCTGATGCTCAGAATGAACACTAAGAGGCCAAATACCAGTGTATGTGGCAGCCTTCTAGTTCTGCAGAAGTATAAAGCCGGGACACATAAAGAAACACATTGCCATTGTCAACGTTAAAGATCATTGAGTGCTGGCCTGATTGCCCTCTCTTGGCTGCACTTTGGAGCGCAAATGCAGCACTAAGAGAACAGAAACTACTGGGGAGGCAGGGCAGGTCTGATAGGGTTTCATCTTTGGTTGTTATGCAGAGTTCTTCTATTTAACACGTTTATTTCTTCAGTTAATAATAAATATCTTCTAATTTAAATGCTAGATAATTGAAATTATAACTTCTCTAAAGAGAAGAAAGTAAACACACATGATCTGAAGGGAAATGGGTAGGTTAGATATTAAAACTGGGACCAAATTCCATAGGATCAGGTCTGGAAGTAGGAGAGGAGGGCAATTTAATTTTAATTTTTAATAGATTTTACCAAAGATTTTATGGGGAAATAAGGAATTTTCACTATATGTCAGCATGAAACACTTACTAAATTTTTCTGTTAGGCATCTCTATTCTTCCCTCAAAATTCCTCTTTTAATCTTAGCTGCTTCATCTCTCTTTCATGTCACAGATCTACAACTTCATCTATAGGTCTATTTTTCAACAGCAACTATGAGATCTCAAAGACACAGACTCTCACATCCTCTTCCTGTATTATTCAAGTTCTATGATCCCTTGGCCTTCAACATAAAGCCACCTCCATTCTAATCACTGTCTACTACAAAGTCATATTAAGATCTACAGACTGTAAGCTTTTTGAGGGCAGGAACTCTGTCTTGTATTTCTCTGTATCTCCTATACTGCCTAACAAAACTGCCCTAACAATATGCTATCTGAAATTCACAAAATTCCTGGTGATATTTGTGCTTAATAACTTGCTAGTGGGTTGCTTATCAGATAAAACGGTTATGTGAAATTGCTTTGAAAGCCATAAAATAAAACAGAGATGCAAAAAGTCAGTCATTAAGTAAGAAGCTGTGGTCCCTCCAAAGCAACAGACTCACATAGATCATAAATGTTGCAACTCGGTTCCCAGACTTCATTCTGTACAGAGGACTGCTTGGTGACTGAGGCAAAAAAGCAAAACAAAATACCACATATCATTATTTTATGCAGAAGGCAACAGAATTACAACCAGGACTTCATCACAGTACAGGAAGGAGTAAAAAGGAGGTGTCAAGGATGGAATAGAGCCCCAAGCTATACCTAGTGGAGGATGTGCCCATTTTTACTGGTAGATAGTCAATATACTTTTTTGGGCTAATTAATTAGATATTGAATATAAGTGAATTATATACCAATCAAACAGAATTGTTTGTCAGTAGTGAAACTTCAATATGTGATGGTTCAATTGTACCATTAGATTCTCCATGAAATAAAAAAGTTAATATATAAATTATTACAGACAATTATTCTGTAGGCATACCAAGTCATATGACTCAAGTTCCCAATTATTTGCTGAAGAAGAGATACTTTTATTTTTTCATGGAAGAGTTTTACTGAGATATGATTTATATATCATAAAATTCACCATTAGAAGTACCATTCAATGAGTTTTAGTAAATTTAAACAGTTGTGTAACCATTCCCACAATCCAGTTTTAGACCACTTCCATCAACTGGAAAAGTTCCCTCCTGCCTGCTTGCAGTCAATCCTTGCTCCCATCCCTAACTCCAGGCAACCACTGATCTGCTTTTAATCTCTATAGCTTTTCCTTTTCTAGATATTTCTTATCAGCAGAATCATAAAATATGTAGGTTTTTTTTTTTGTGTGTGTGGGGGTTGGGCTTTTTTTACTTAAGACAGTTTTTTAAAGGTTCATATATATTGTTGTATTATCAAAAGTTAATCCTTTTCTATTACCGTGTAGTATTGTATGGATATATCACAATTTGTTTATCCATTCATCTACTGATGGACATAGGGAGTGCTTATAGCTCTTGGCTATTACAAACATTATAAACATTCATGTACAGTCTTTGTATGGACATATATTTTCTTTTCTTTTTGAAATAGTTGAATCATAAGTAATTGTATATCTAACTTTTTAAGAAACAGCCAGACTGCTTTCCAAAGTGATTGCACCATTTTACATTCCCATCAGCAATGTGAGGTTCTAACTGCTATACATCTTCACTGACACTTGGTATGAATTATCTGTCTTATTGACTTATAAGAGTACTTCATATATTTAGGATACAAATCCTTTATCAGATATACGATGTGAAAGTATTTTCTCCTAGTTGTTGGCTTATTTGTTTTTCATTTTCTAATAGTGTCTTTTGAAAGCAAAAGATTAATTTTGATCAGGTCCAATTTATCATTTTATTTATGGATTATGCTTTGGTGTCATATCTAAGAAATCTTTCCCTAACTATGGTCACAAAGATTTCCTCTTATGTTTTCTTCTACAAGTTTTATACTTCTGCTCTCTCTCTCTCTCTCTTTTTCTCCAGATAGATATCCAATTGTTCCAGCACCATATGTTGGAAAGACTATTCTTTCCTCATTGCATTTCCTAGGCAGCTTTGTCAAAAATCAGTGATTAGTAAATTTGGCTTCATGGACCAAACAGGCCTTTCAGACCATGGGCTTATGTATTTTCCCTATTCCAATCTTTTACATTACAGGCAGCCCCAGGGTACGAAGAAGATCCGTTCCTATCTTTAAGAATGTGTAGGCAAGTTGGAATAGGTGCATATGATTTTTATTTAGCCTTACTTTAGTGCAAGAAAAGGCTCGAAGCCTTTTCAATAATTTTAAAACTGCACATGCAGCAAGTGAAGGTGATTGTGATGAAGAATTTGTTGTGATTCAAGCTTCAAAATGAAGGCAAATTTACATAACGTTAAAGGGCAAGTAGGAGTTATGTTACAACTTTTGTAACCTAGGGACTGCTTGTATTACCAAACTACTAACCAGAAAGCTGGCGGTTCAAACCCACTGGCCACTCCTCCGAAGGAATGTTGGGCAATCTACTTCCATAGTGATACCACCTTGTAAACCTAAGGAGGTTGATCTGACTCAACAGCAGTGAGTTTGGTTTGGTTTTAAGCTGCTTGGAGGAGCTCTGGTGGCACTGTGGTTAAAGCATTGGGCTGCCAATCAAAAGCTTTGTGGTTCCAACCCACCAGCTGCTCCAGGAGAAAGAAGAGGCAGTCTGCTTCCATAAACATTTACAGTCTTGGAAACCCTATGGGATAATTCTGTTGTATAGGGTCACTGCTAGTCAGAATCCACTTGATGGCAGTGTGTAAGCTGCATGGCATTTGAGGTATTAAGAGCTTCCAAGCAGCCATCTAAGATATAGCAATGGACTCATTCTGACAAGAGGAACTACAAAGAAGCTAAAGAACCAATAAGAATAACATGTTTCACAAAGAGGTACCCCAAAATGTCATACCTAAAAGACAAGAAGACCCTACATTTGTGCCTGCCCAATGCTTAGTGATCAAAGATTCTAATCAAGCCATGATTAGGAGGGAGTAGATGACAAATAGAGAAATTGATAGCAGATACCTTGCTTTGATTAGGTTTTCTTACCCACAAAACCAAATAGTCACTTTAAAGAAATCCCTGACCAAAATTAATATGGATTTTCTTTCACCCAAAGTTGCAAGTCCTTTCTTTCCTTCAAGTTTACTAAATTTGAATTTCAAAAGATATGGATGGGGAGTTCTGTTAAGGTGGCAGAATAGGCAAACTACACAGACCCTCTTCAACAAAGAAAAGAGGAACCAATTAACACAGATACAGAAGATAATCCTGGAGCCCTAAGATTGGAAAGGAAGGATACAGAAGTGAACTAAGCTCCAACTAGTAGAAGAACCTGCATGAAAACACCAATAAAAGAGACATATGGAGCTGCGGACTGTCCATGATCCTGGTGTCATGGACAGCTTGGATATTGCCAAGTGGTGTTAGGACATAAGAATTAACCTAATAATTGGCCCTGCTAGCCAAGGCTGCACAGAGGCCTGCACTGGTGGCTGGTGGATAAAAGGGGAAGCAATAAAGAGGAGGCGGGCTGAGCTGTGGACTTCTGTCTGTCTGTAAGGTGCAGCCATTTTGAATGTTTACAAGCAGTTGGACCATTTTGGATATTTAAAGCAACAGT